CTACACCTTGTTATCGCATGAAAAGCTTTTCTTGTTGAGATTGTCATTGATGTAAAGGAAGAACTAAATACTGTTCTGCAGCTAGCATTTACCTGTAATTGACAAACGGACTACATGATCTGAATATGCAAGGCAAAATTATCTGCTGTAAAAATTATAGAATTTTTTTAAATTTTGCTATTATTCACATTTTGTGCAAGTTATGTTTCTGTAGAGATTATCCAATCAGAATGAATGTTAGTTGATTTTCATTGTTTGAATGTTGTTCAACATCCGTTCTAATTTTTAAATCCTTCCTTGTCAGCTTTGAACGAATCACAGGCTACAAAAATGGTGTGAATTGCATGGCCAAATTGAGGAAAAAAGACTTTTTAAAGGAACATCATTATTTTAATTATTCGTTATAGGACCTGGGCATATTAAGGCCCCAGCATTTATTGCATTTCAGAAGTGGTGGTCAGTGTCTTTTTTTTTAACTACTGTAGTCTGTGAAGTGAAGATATTCCCATAGTGGCATTAAGTAGCGTTCCAGAATTTTGTACCAGTGACATTCAAGGATGGGCAATATATTTCAAAATCAATGTTGTGTGACTTTAGAGGATGCCTTCAAGTGGCAGTATTCCCATATTCCTGGCACCATTGCCTTTCAAGGTGGTAGATGTCGTACGTATGAGGTTCTGGTGAAGAAATCTTGAGTAGTTGCTGCAGCACTTATTGTAGGTGGGGTCAGGGAATTGTACAGACTGGGTGAGTTGCATCTAAACAGACCTGGGACTAATTTCCTTTTGGAGAGATTTTCTAATGCTATTGGGTGGAGTTAAACTAAATTGGCAGGGGAGTGGAAACCTCAAGGTAATATGAAGTGTGGAATCCAAAGTGCTGTGACACTGGGAGAGACAGATAGCACTGGAGAAAGAAATAGTAAATTATTAGTTATACTCAAACGGAAAAATTAATAATGTTTTAATTAAGGTTATTATGCATGTAAGAGAGTATGTAGAGCTGTGATCACCAATGTTTTTAAGCACTAGATCAATAGTGCAAACAAGGATCTACCCTGAAGAGAATACAGAGTAGTTTAATGTTAGTGTTACATAAATTTAAAACCAAGTATATATAATTAATTGCTTCGTCCTCTACTCATCAAGAAAGAGTGTGACTCCTGTGACTGCATATTATTTGCTAGTGCCTTGATGTTTGTATTGTAGTTTGAGTCTGCTAGTCATAAACAGTCCAGCAACTATGTCTATGAGGCAGATGTGATACTTGGACTTGATTGTCTTCATGTGGGAGAATGCTGTCTCATCGGTCTGTGGAGCCAAAAATTACTATCACTTTAAAAACACAAGCTGATAAGTTTTTGTTTTTTTTTCTGTTTACAGGTCCTCAAAAATCACTGTCCCTTGTCCTGACTTTCAATTCAATATAATTTTTCATCCTAATTATCTCTATATCAAATTCACTGCTTTCTAACTCAAATAGCTAATGGAATTTTGTGGCCAAATCACCAATGTCTATTTGTAGGATTTTGTTTCTTTTTGAGACAATTTTTCCAATCACATCTAGTTCCTGAAATCACCTGTTGAATTCCTTTGCTGACTTCCTCAGGTATACACAGACATTTTGTGGGTGGAACTGTTTTTCATCATTTTTGATACTTTCTAACTATTTTCTTCAGAGTCCGGGAGTATTGAAATGTTTTACTTTTTAATTGGGAGAATTAAGATGAAGCTCATGACCGATACAAGGTGGATAATAAAACCAAGAACCCAAAAAGCCAATAGGAGACGCAAATAAAGTATGAAAATAAATTACCAGATAATGTCAAAGAGAATCCAAATCTTCTATATCTGCATTTAAGTGACTAAAAGCTGGAAAAAAAGAATAGGACTGATTGAGGATTAAAATGAGAATTTATCCATGGAGGCAGAGGCATACCTAAGCTATTAAATTAGTACAATGCGAGTGTGTATTGCATGACCTGAGATGCTGTAAATTCATTTATAGCTCAGGGATTTTCTTGATTCCCAAAAACGTTGATCTTAATTTGAATTGTCACGTAAGGTGTGATTTTATAAAGTACTATTGGCATTAGAATTTGAATTTGGAATGTTGGCATATGGGAGTTGGCCTGTGTGTATGAAAGGGTAATAATTAACTTGTGAATTTTTCTGGAGCTATGAGCTTAAACCAGTATGCATCAGAGAGCAGCTGACTGGGGCTCTCCTGGATCAATAAATGGGAATTTGTGTTTCGAATTTTACAATTGGAGGCAGCAAACATTGAGAAACATTAGATTACAAATAATCAGAGATTAACTTTTGTTTAGGAAGAACCCATAGATTGAAAATCTGTTGGTTTCAGTTCACAGAAGGCCTGGCTGGGGTTAGAGATAACAATTTGTTTTCCCCCCGGAGTTGAGGTTAGTAAAGAACAATTAGGAAAAATGTAAGGGTTTCTTTCAAAAATTCCAGTCCAGAAAGGTTTGATTAGAATCCTGAAGGGGTTAACTGAAGGTAAGAAAGTTTAACATTTTAGTGCATATTAGTTATATGCACAATCAAGAAAGAGACTATTAAGGTCCCAAGACAAGAAATTGAAAGAGACAGTTAAGTCAAACCTACGGAGAAATGAACTCTCTCTGGTATTTGATAACTTAAGATGATGGTGTTGGGATAAATAGAATACAATTCTATCATGTGTCTTGAAACCTTTCAAGTTGTGTCATATGTAAATAGCTTGGTTTGTTATATTGTTACAACCCCTCGGGAAAGTGCACTGGTTTTCAAGAATTACTACTGCCAGAGTCTTCACAAAAGTTAATGATTTAATCGAGCATCTGATTTACCTCCCTGTTGAAATCAAGTACTATCACAGAATACTAACCAGGTTTCTGTACTTAACAAGAACTACTTATTACAAATAGGTAAATTCAAATCATAAGTAAACAACTATGAAGTATCAACATATGGGTCTACTAGTTAAAACACTAACCCCTCCCCCCCTTTATAATTGGTGGCTGGAGGGAAATATAAAGTGGGAAGCATAATTCAATAGCACCAGTCCACCAGGTTTGTTGAGCTAAAAACAAATTGTTGGAGAAACTCAACAGGTCTGGCAACATTACTGTGGAGAAAGTAGAGTTAATGGTTCAAGTCTGGTGCTTTTTTT